TTTATCAATCAGCCATGTAATATTCCTATGCTCACAAAATCGTTTACAAAATATGTCATCGATAAGTATGTTAATAAAGAATTTATTGTGCAAAAAGATGAAAAGAATGGTCTTTCAAACTCGGTTGATTTGGTGAGAAATTACAAGCAAAAAAAATTATTTAAAAATAATACATATATAAATTCTAATAAATTGTTCTTTTAGGCGTTTTGGAAAGCGATGGGAGAATCTAATTTATATGAGGCACTTCGATGTTTATCACTAGGAGCTAATGTTGATTGGAAAAATGACCAAGAAAATTACACTACGGCATTACATCAAGCCATACTACGAAGTGATGATATTGCAGTGGAATTCCTGCTTTCATGGTCTTGTGATATAAACGAGGTTGATAAGAAAGGATGGAGTTGTCTGCATCATGCAGCAGCAACGAATAATGCTAGATTATTATTGATTTTAATGAAGAGACATGCCAACATTAATTTGAAAGACATAAATGGAAAGGTAATTGAAATTTTCGGTTATAGTTCTTTCTTATTATTTAGAATATATTTTAAGTAGATTAATTGAATATTAAAATAGCGACCAGTTGATATTGCTGTGGAATTGCAAAAAGTACAAGCAGTAACAGTTTTAAGATTATATCAATTTGAAAATCAACTTACAAGATCAGAGTATTCAAATTTTGGGGTTGGTGAAGCATTAAATAGTATATCAAAACCATATGCAGTTGACACTCTTTATACCGAGCCTATATATACCGAAGCCGATTCTGAGTACATATATTTGCCCAACAACACATACGATGAACAAACGATCGTGCATTCAGACCAATCAAAATAATTAATAGAGATACTAACTACGTGTAATATAATTTTCTTTTTCTTTTTTAACTTAATACTATCGCTGACATATTTTGTAAACGATTTTGTGAGCATAGGAATATTACATGGCTGATTGATAAATAGATGTGCCTAATGAACATTCATTTAGTTAGATAAATTAGAATTTATTTATGACCGTTCAAAGTTGATTAGGTTTAAATTCTTAACATTTAAAAAAATTGACATTTAACCAACTATTTAACTTTGAGCGGCCTATAAGATTGCATAAACTTAATGACACGTATAATTATTATATTAACTTGTTAATAAAAAAAGCGTATCGTTAAGGTCACGGCAATTATCATATATTTTAACAAATTACACAATGAATTATGCTTCAGAAAGTAGTTTCAAACTAAATTACACAATGAATTATGTCTCAGAAAGTAGCTTCAAAATGTTTATTTTGATTTTTAATATTTATATTAATTAAAACATTTTCTGAAAAAATTAGTCTTATGTATTGCAGTGTTTAGCTATTTGTAGTATCTGAAATAGTGCTATTCTAACAAATAGCTAGCTATATGATTTTTATATTAAAAAGTAAAATTTGCTATTTGTACAATAATCTCCACTTTTGCTATTGCCACCCTGAGAAGGTGTGAATCGGTATCCGTGGTCCGAGGGTAGGTCGGGACGATGGTCACACCAAATAATATTCTACAACCTACCACTAAACTAACTATAACCCTAATAGTGGAAGGCGTCGAAAGAAGGCGTGGAGAATTTGGTCCGGGTTTATCAGGGTTATGGTCAGTTTATAGATAATCGGGGGGTAACGAATGTGATATCGGGTTATTATGCGCAGGGATTTATTCTCAAGTCTGAGATCTAAACTGAGATCTAAACTGAGATCCAAACTTAGATCATAACTTCGATCAAGTCTTAGATCAAGTCTTCGATGCCTTTATTAAAGAGGAAAAAGTCGTCGCTTATATACTTTTAGAAATGTTTAATATATCGTATATATTAAATATATCGTATATATTTAATATATCATATATATTTAATATATCATATATATTTAATATATCTAACATTTCGTACATAGTTTAAACTAAACATGGGGAAGGATTGACACTAATCTACGGTAAGGCTTCTAATTATACATGTTTGTACTAATAAAAGGCTAAACAAGAATCTACAAACTAAAAATAGGACATCGTACTATGTCGAAGCGCAGTATTTCCGGAGGGTCAAATTAGACCTTTACAAATTCCCCTGTTTAATTTATGCATACTATGTATAAAATCTTAAAACTTGTTGAAGTTTAACAGAATATGCATTACACCAAGGCTTTTTCAAGACTTATTCAGATATGTATTTCTGATGTTTTCTTTTTTCTTTTCATCTAAATATTCTTTCTTGTGGTCTAAGAATTTTGAGAATCTTCATTGTAAGTTCTTGCAAGTAAGTAAATTCAAAATACTAGAACATTAGAACTTGAACTGGATTCTGTATTTTAGATTCTATTCATATCACATATTCCTTTCTTCTAGGTTTATTTTGAATATCTTTTTTTTTTTCTAATTCTAATCTTTCTTTTGTTGAAGTTCAAATAATTATAAAGGTTTTTCATAATTATCATATAATCTGATCTTATTATCTTGTTTTGAGATTTCGTTAAGATTAATAGTATAGGTAAAATTTTTTTTGTTACTAATTAGTTTCATTTTTATCTTTTTCTAGATATTTATATTCTAATATTAATTTACTTATACTTTTTTTTGTTTAAAACATTAAACTAAAAGAAATAAAGTTTTGAACCTTACTTTATTCTATTCTAACTAACTACTAAATATTAGATTTATTATGAAAAAGAGATACAAAAATATTTTTTTTTTTTGACAAAAATAAGTTTATAGTTTAAAGATTATATCTTTTTTTAATTCATTCTTGAAATAATATAACTTTTTTCAACAAGCTATTCACAGATTATTTTTTAAGTATTATTTTTAAGTATATATTAGTTAATGAAAATATAATTAGCTACATATATAACTTTAGTTATTGTCTATTTAAAGATTTCATTATTTAGATTATCTTTTTTTTTTTAACTTAGATGACCTTACCTTTGGTTTATTAGTAGAAAATTTATAAAGAAATTATTATACAAAAATAAAAAAAAGAACTAATGTTCTAAACTATTAATATATCCTACCCTTACAATCTCAGATTCACTCAGTTGCCTTATGCCACCTAGATATGATCTACTGCAAAAAGTATTTATCTTCCTAAAAGGTGTCCTACTTGAGTAGGGTAGTTCTTTCAGATCAATAATAGGTTCTTTTATACCTGTATCAAGGTCCTAGGTTGCTTCTAATCTAATCAAAACTAAATTATAAACTATTAATACCTAGTCTAAATTAAAAATAAAAATTGTTACATATAATAAAACATAGCTAATTATATGAACTAAGCTTGTAAGGGAAAAATCCACTACCAGATTAAAAAACTCTTACAAGTAAAAAAGTAAAGGAAAAAGAAAAAGAAACAAATACTCTAATTTATATAAAAAAAAAAAAGAGTATGAAAAAATATAAAAATATTATGCTATAGAAAAACAAGAACATATATCTCTAGCAATAAATTTCTCTGAAAGTTAAATCCTAATTGGATCATCTATATGATAGTGATGTATGTGTTTGTTGTCCTGTCTAAGTTGTATATCAACAGATGACTTGCCAAATTAGGAAGTAGTATGAACATGCAGATCCTTTGTCAGGATTCACCAAATCCTCTACTTTTTTATTTTTTGGTATAGAAAAATCCAAAGGTCCAGAGAGAAACAGTAGTAGTGCCAAAAAAATTTAAAGAGAGTATATATTTTTCAAAATCTACTATCTACTTGTATTCACCTAGAGTGTAACCAGTACTTATCTTCTGTAGGTAAGTAATAAACTCTAAGCTTGTCAGCAAGTAGCGTATGAGAACT